TTTTTTTTCAGAGATTTTTAATGCTTTTATCATTCTGTCTGCCACATTATCTTTTAAATGTAATCAGCAATGTCAGATTTTATTTCACAGAAGCTTTCATTGGAAGACAGCTTTTTTTTCCCTTTGACGTCTGATTATAAAGATGTTTTGCAGGGGCTTTGAAGTTCCTGAATCAGCCATACTAACACCTGAGATTTAAAAATTGAATAATAATTAATTATAAAATGAATTTAAATTTGAAGTTTGTTCTGCTTCTAAATATTGATAGTTTTTATATTCAAACACCAAACGAATTGATGGTTCAGAGTGTGTTGGATTGCAGCTAAGGTTTTCTTCTGCCTTTCTGCTTTTATTTTTTTACATAATAAAATTCCTCTGAGAGGCTTTTTGCCGTTTGAACGAGGCTTCAAACATTTCTTTGTCTCCAAGAAACCAGGATATGTCAGGTGCCTATTACAGCCCCCTGCGGTGTCCCTGCTGAAAGCGTTTGACCTCACGTCTGCGGTCGGTTTCCACGGCTGAGAATATGTGGTTAAACTGAAAGCCTGTATCCCTTTGTCCATTTTCCATCTGCATTTCGAACCCACTTTTCTTAAGAATTCTGTCACTTTACCACAGAAGAGCTGAAGGATTCCTCATAGAATCATAGGTTATATTATTAAGAACCGAAAGGAAGGGAAGAAAATAATAATAAAAAACCTCTTTCTGTGGGTAGTCTTTTGTCTGGACAGGATGATTGCGGTTTAATGGCTTCAAAACAAACACTTGCGGTTTAACACCCTTCCTTCCGTCTGAATGTCATTTTCTGAATTGTAATAAATAAATTATTCATTCACAGAGTTCTGTAAATGTAAAGTTTCTAAGTAAACCAAATGTGTTTCAGCTTGTGTATCGTTGATACCCGCAGTTTGGCTCCAGTTTTTCCATAAAGGTTTCATTTCTGGTGTTCTGATGCCTTTTTAACCCTTATTTGCAGGAGTTTGTGGACGTCAGCCCCCCGCAGAGGAACTGGAAGGGCATCGCCATCTCTCTCCTGGTTATAGTGGTGGTCTGCTCGCTCATCACCTTGTCTGTAGTCGTCCTAACGCCCAGTAAGCTAAAATCCACAGTGCATTGTTAGAAATGAGCCTTTTTTCTTTCTTTTAAGCTTATGCACTTTGATATGCTGAGCTTTTTAGTGATAACTATGTGACTAGTAGGATTTGAACGTGCTTTTTGGCTTCCTAGGTGACGCTCTTGAAAGCAGCAAGTTCAAGCTGACGGTGGAGGACCTGTTTAAACCCGAGTTCCAGATTCACGACCCACAAGCTAGGTGGATTAATGGTGAGTCTGTTGCCATTTTTAAGGCTTTTAAAAAGTCTGCAAAGCCAGATCAGACTTCTGTCATATAATTTATATCCCTATATAAAGAATTTTCTTTTTCCAGGTGTGTTAGATGCATATTAGTCATTTCCTTCCCATTTTATTTTTCCTTAATAACTGCTACGCTACAATCTAATCTAATGACTCTTAATTAAATCTACATAATTGATGTCTTCCCTTGTGTCCTAGTGTGACTAGAGATGCACTGATCCAATACATGGATTGGATATGAGAGATATTATATCGGATATCGCGGGTCCAATCCAGTGCTATTTACCTATAACTAACTGTTATTTCTTTCTTTTTGCTTTTTGGTTAATTTAGCCAATTCGCACAATAAACTTTATTTTTATTTTTTTTTAATAAATACACTTAATTTTGACTAAGTATGCTATATTATTTCTAAATATATAAACCTGGTATCTATGCATTTAATTTATGTAAGCTTTGTTAATAGAAATTAATTAATATGCAAAAGTAAAAGCGAATTGATGTAATAAAATTGCATAAATCTTGAATTTTGGGTGAAACATTTATGCGAGCGACTTGTGAAAATTCAGTTTGTATATTCCTTTAAAAACCTGAAGCTTCTTATACTGGTCTTTGTTATAATTTATTAAAAACCATTGGGTAGTTCTTCATCATTTTAGGGCTTCCAAATAGCCATTTGCTAGCCTGACGTAGTCCGACTCAATTCTAGTCAGAATATGAGTCTGATACTGCTCCATAGAGCTGTGATTATGGGGCGTGTTT